TTTTTGGTTTGATTATATTATTGAATTACATTTATTATTATTATATTATTATTTTTTATGATTATTTATTAAATTATAATTTATGATTTTGTGTTTCAAGTTTTATCATATCCGGAATGTTTACTAGACTCTTGTTCGGACAGTTTTCAGTGAGTTATTCCTAAATTACAGGCCTACAATAAAAAAAAATACATATTTCCATGAAAAAAAATGGTACCACTTTCAGCACCAAAAATCGGAAATAATCATACCGCTAGGGAGGTTAAAGTGTAAGTTCACCTTTACAGAATATCTGTAAGTTGACCTAAATCAACCAGCAGGCTGAGAAAAAAAAGAACTAATTTCCCACATCCACACATTTAACACTACTGATTCCTGTTTCTATACACTGTCCTGCTGACCTCTCATCCTCTGCCCCCCTGACAATTTTTACTGCACCCCCACATTAGACTAGCTAGATCCAGCCTGGGTTTACCACATTTCACCCCTGTGCACTCTATAAAGGGCTTTGACTCTATTCTAAAGAGCACAGAGAGTACCGAAAGGCTTAACTAGCTTCCTAAAACCCAATAAGTCAACCCAGTCTCTGCCTAAATGTGCATTAATGCTTACTTCCCTCAAGCACCAAATTAGAGCTCACAAAAAGAGAGGCTTAAGGAGTCCCCAGTCCCCCACTCAATAAAAACATGTATTCACCAACACTAAAATCATACCAGGGATAAATTAAAAAACTAAGGAACCTAATATGTTTCGCTCTAAATCGGGAGAGATTTGTCAGGGGTGCAGGAAAGTAAAATAAAATAGAAGGCTATCTACTAGACACTGTGTGAAAAATCATTTAATATTTCACACAGTGCCTGGTCCTTTTTGTCCACAAGATGGCAATGTCCCAGCAGTTATCACACAGGAAGGGGCGGGCAAAGCAGCCATCTTTGGCTACAAATAGAGCAGAAAGTGGGCATGGCTACCATTTTGCTGTTTGATCATGTGGTGATGGCACACATGACACTGAATTATTTAATTTTACTTTGCTGCACCCCTGAAAAAGCTCTCCATTTTAAGAGTGAAACACGTTTGGCCAGAGGGCAATTTTTTAGTTTAGGCTTGCAACAGTCACTTTAAATTGTATGTATAGCACAAACTTTTTTTTCCCCAGTTTTATTATGTAGTAATAGGATGGGTTAAAACCTGTCAAGTTCTTTTTTACTTTCACTTCTTCTCTGGAGATGCAACAGGTAGTTAGAAGAAATCTCCCAAAATGAGGGGATTCCCCTTGTTAGAAAGTTGTCACCATGTCCTCATTGGATGCCTCAATGGAAGATATTGTTTTTTAACTCTAAACATGTATTTTTTGTCTCAGTAACAATGGTCATCAGTAAAAATAGTAGGATGAATATCCCCAACAGGGATACAGACAGCAATAAAGACTTGACAGAGAGTCTAACTTTTACACAGTCTGTTGAAACTAAAAAAAAGTGTTGCCTATACATACTGTATACACTATATTGCCAAAAGTATTGGGACACCCCTTCAAATAATTGGATTCAGGTGTTACAATCACTTTCATGGCCACGGGTGTATAAAATCAATCACCTAGGCATACAGACTGCTTCTACAAACATTTGTGAAAGTATGGGTCACTCTCAGGAGCTCAGTGAATTCAAGCGTGGTACCATGATAGGTCCATCCGTGAAATTTCCTTGCTACTAAATATTCCACGGTCAATTGTTAGTCGTGTTATAACAAAGTGGAAGCAACTGGGAACAACAGCAACTCAGCCACAAAGTGGCAGGCCATGTAAAATGACAGAGCGGGGTCAGCGCATACTGAAGCGCACAGTGCGCAGAAGTTGCCAACTGTCTGCAGAGTCAATAGCTAAAGACCTCCAGACTTCATGTGACCTTCAGATTAGCACAACAACAGTGTGTCAGGGCTTCATGGAATGGGTTTCCATATCCGAAGAGCTGCATCCAAGCCTTACATCACCAGTTGCAATGCAAAGCATCAGATGCAGTTGTGTAAAGCACGCCGCCACTGGACTCTAGAGCAGTAGAGATGTGTTCTCTGGAGTGATGAATCACGCTTCTCTGTCTAGCAATTCGATGGACATGTCTGGGTTTGGTGGTTGCCAGGAGAATGGTACTTGCCTGACTGCATTGTGCCTAGTGTAAAATTTGATTGAGGGGGGATTATGATGTGGGGTTGTTTTTCAGGGGTTGGGCTTGGCCAACATCAGTGCCTGACGTTACAAATGCACTTCTGGAAGAATGGTCAAACATTCCCGTAGACACACTCCTAAACCTTGTGGACAGCCTTCCCAGAAGAGTTGAAGCTGTTATACTGTAGCTGCAAACAGTGGGCAAAATCAGTATTGATCCCAACAAACTAAGGCTGGGATGCCATTAAAGTTCATGAGTGAGTAAAGACAGGTGTCCCAATACTTCTGACAATATAGTGTACTTTAAGTAGCCTGCATTTTTAAAATGGTTGTAAACCTCTGAAATGAAAAATGAACAAAGCATATCCTTCTATAGAATGTACTTGCCTCAATCTAAGGCACTTAGTGTTATTTATGTACGTTGTCTCTTTTTTCTCCTGTCTGCATGAGTCACTTTTGACAGCTTATGCTGACACCAGACAGTTGCCCAGGCCAGCCCCCTCTAGCACACAACAATGTTTCCATATGAGACTGTGTAGAGGTGAGTGTCCATTCCCTCCACTCAGATCTCAGAATGCATTCAGCTCCCTGCTCTTTGCCATGCAGTGTGTAACTTTGGATCCCCGCTCCCTGCCTTTTGACAATCATAAATTTATTTATTTCAGGTACTTATATAGCGCCGTCATTTTACGCAGCGCTTTACATATATATTGTACATTCACATCAGTCCCTAACCCTCAAGGGGCGTACAATCTAAGGTCCCTAACTCACATTCATACATACACATACTAGGGCCAATTTAGACAGGAGCCAATTAACCTACCAGCATGTCTTTGAAGAGTGGGAGGAAACCGGAGTACCCGGAGGAAACCCACGCAGGCACAGGGAGAACATGCAAACTCCAGGCAGGATTCAAACCAGCTACCCTAGTACTGCCAGGTGGAAGTGCTAACCATTTAGCCACTGTGCTGCCCCAAATGCTGCATAAACTATACACTTTGCATGGCTTTGGAGAACAGAGGGCTGCAGATAAACAGGTACAATTTATGTAGGAAGATGTGTTTAATCTCTGTATATCACTTGAGTCCAGTTACTTCAGTGGGTATATGTAAGAGTTTACAACCACTCTTAAGTGTTACTAAACCCAGGACCCTGCATTCACTATATCTGGTCTCCCACAGTACATAGGACAAGTGTAATTATTTTAGTAGATATAAACTGCTAAATATATTTTCTCTTCAGCAGTTAGTGACTTCTATCAGTGTCCACCAGAGCACATGTTAAAGTTTGTAGGAGTTTTAATTTTGCTCTAGGACAGGGGTAGGCAACCTGAGAGCCGCAGGACTACAAGTTCCATCATGCCTCTGCAAGTCATAGCTGTAACTGTCAGTTTTGTAATCTTTGCAATGCCTCATGGGAAATGTAGTTCCACAACAGCTAGAGAGCCGCAGGTTGCCTACCCCTGCAGAACCCCTGACCTCTGTCTGGACAGTGCTATTTGTCCCTGTGCTGATCACATGCACTCTCCCAAGAAAAAAAACCCCTCTCTAGCAATGCACACCAAACTGAGCATGTGCAGAGTGACTCCACACAATGTGTCTTATCAGGAGATAAGAGGGGAACACTAAAAGAATGAGAGGATCAAAACAAGTTTGAATTAAACAGCCTTTTTACACAATGCAGAGGATTAACCCCTTAGGTTCCACAGTGAGTATTACAAGCATGCTTTACTGCATATACAGACTGATTTTACTGTTGTGGGTTTAGTAACACTTTAAGGCCTGTAAACTTCTTGGAAGTTGTAGAATATTCAGTGCAGGAAAGAGATGAGCTCAGATGCCCACTACTGATGATGATTAATATGAATGATCAGTGGATTAAATAATTGTTTCCAGAGACGCTGTGGTGCTGGACAGTTTTGAAAAGGCACATCGTGTACTTTGCACCCTTGGCAGACATTAGTGCACTAATTGTGGGTTTTTTTTTGTTTTTTTTTTGTCAACACTGAATGCACATCCTTCAGTAAATATTGGTTAACAAAGTCCAGAAAACAGTCACAGTCAAGTCTGCAACTTAGTATTTGTGCTACATGCCAGTGATTTAGTTTACATATTTTGCTGGTGGGGTACAAATAAATGAATTTCATTTTAATAATTATATCTTTATTGGATTACAAATAAAGCAGATTTGTGTATTCTGTTTTAAAGGAAATCTATATTATTATATACATTTATTGTATTCAGGGCCAAAAAACAGAGTATTTAATTTTTTTCATAATTTATATTTATGATATCAAGCTAAAGGGAGAAGTTCTGGACTCCAATTCATTGTTTACTAGGCCAATGTTATTTGCTTTTCTAATAAAAGCCTGTTTACAGACCTAAATGGTTGAAGCTCATAACTAGAGATGAGCAAAGTATTCAAAAATTCGATTCAACTGATTCGGCGAATTCGTGGACAATATTCGATTCGAGTCGAATATATTCGCTGTGAATTTAACTTAAAAAAGGGTGTTTCTAGGCTTCAGAGAGACTTTATATTAGTGCAGAACACTGTACCTTTAATTTAAATGCCCTTGGAGTTGCTGGGGAAGAGAAATAATACTGTCAGTCAGTATGACATGCAGATGAGTGCCGTCGATCTTAGAATCACCGCACACTTCACTCATTTGGCCAGTCACGGGGCCAAAACCAGTGTTTGGAGCCACAGTGTGGCAGTGGAGGCAGCAGCAATGGGAGGCCATACAGCAACCTATGACAAAATGGAAACCAGCAGGAGTGTGAGGAGACCTCAAAGTGGCACATGGCAGAGTGGGAGCAATGGGAGGCGGGGCTACAGGGACCCATGTCACACTGTGGACCCAGCAGCAGCGTGACCAGGCGGTACGGAGGCCCATGGCAGATTACAGGCCTGGCAGCAGCAATGGGAGGCCCGTAATCTGTCAGCACCCTATGACAAAATGGAACCCACCAGCAGTGTGAGGAGACCTGAAAGTGGCACATGGCAGAGTGTGGCGATGGAGACAGCAGCAATGGGAGGCCGTACAGGGACCCATGAGAGACTCTGGACTTGGCAGCAGCATGAGGAGGCGGTATATAGGGGCCCATGGCAGATTAGGGGCCTGGCAGCAGCTATGGGAGGCCCGTAATCTGCCAGCACCCTATGTCAAAAATTTCAACACACCAGCAGTGTGTGAGGAGACCTGAAAGTGGCACATGGCAGAGGTGGGCGATGGAGACAGCAGCAATGGGAGGCCGTACGGGGACCCATGAGAGACTCTGGACCTGGCAGCAGCATGAGGAGGCGGTATATAGGGGCCTATGGCAGATTAGGGGCCTGGCAGCAGCTATGGGAGGCCCGTAATCTGCCAGCACCCTATGTCAAAAAATTCAACACACCAGCAGTGTGAGGAGACCTGAAAGTGGCACATGGCAGAGTGTGGCGATGGAGACAGCAGCAATGGGAGGCCGTACAGGGACCCATGACAGACTCTGGACTTGGGCTAGCAGCATGAGAGGCGGAGGGGGTATTGGTATAGGGGCCCATGGCAGATTAGGGGCCTGGCAGCAGCTATGGGAGGCCCGTAATCTGCCAGCACCCTATGTTCAAAAAATTCAACACACCAGCAGTGTGTGAGGAGAACAAGTGGCACATGGCAGAGTGTGGCGATGGAGACAACCCACCGACTGTTTTGCTCACTGCCAAGCTGCCACCCTCTTCTCCTGATGATGCGGGAAGCGATAGCCTGATGAGGACGAGGCTGCCAAGTGCCATCAGCCTCATCATCATCAATTAGGGTCTCCACCTCACTACTAGCCCCCCCTCGGCTGCGTGTGGGTCAGGAGACAGACCTGTCTCTACACCGGCTACCGAGCCACTCTCCTCGCCACACTACTTCTTCGCCTGGCTGCTGAAAGGCGGATGTCTCCCCCAGTTCCTGACCGCCCTCTGTTAGCTCTTCCTCACTGTACTGGATGACACCCGGGAGCACTAGCCTTGGCTGCGAAAAAATAGTGCTGCCTCGACCCTTCCTCTGCTGCCACGTCTGCTCGCTCCTAAAAAACATTGCCTCCTCTGCCACTCCTCTGCATGTTGTCTGACATTAATACTTTTAAGTTAAACGATTCTGTGTCCCTGAGTAACAATTCTGTGTCCCTGAGTAACGTATTCTGTGGCCCTAAGTAACAGTTCTGTGGCCCTAAGTAAACAGTTCTGTGGCCCAGTAACAATTCTGTGTCCCTCAGTAACAAGTCTGTGTCCCTGAGTAACAATTCTGTGTCCCTGAGTTAACGTTTCTGTGGCCCTAAGTAACAGTTCTGTGGCCCTAAGTAAACAAAAAGTTCTGTGGCCTCAGTAACAATTCTGTGTCTGTCCCTGAGTAACAATTCTGTGGCCCATAAGTAAGGTTTCTGTGGCCCTCAGAAACAATTCTGTGTCCTGAGTAACAATTCTGTGGCCCCTAAGTAACGGTTCTGTGGCCCTCAGTAACAAATTCTTGTGTGGCCCTCAGTAAACAATTCTGTGTCTGTCCGAGTTAAATAGACAGTTCTGTGGCCCTAAGTAACAGTTCTGTGGCCCTCAGTAACAATTCTGTGTCTGTCCCTGAGTAACAATTCTGTGTCCCTCAGTAACAATTCTGTGTCCCTGAGAGTAACAATTTGTGGCCCTCAGTAACAATTCTGTGTCCCTCAGTAACAATTCTGTGGTCCCTGAGTAACAATTCTGTGTCTGTCCTGAGTAACAATTTCTGTGGCCTAAGTAACGGTTCTGTGGCCCTCAGTAACAATTCTGTGTCCTGAGTAACAATTCTGTGTCTGTCCTGAGTAACAATTCTGTGGCCCTAAGTAACGGTTTCTGTGGCCCTCAGTAACAATTCTGTGTCCCTGAGTAACAATTCTGTGTCCCTCAGTAACAATTCTGTGTCCCTCAGTAAAAATTCTGTGTCCCTCAGTAACAATTCTGTTCTGTCCCTGAGTAACAATTCTGTGTCTGTCCCTGAGTAACGTTTCTGTGGCCCTAAGTAACGGTTTTGTGGCCCTGAGTTACAATTCTGTGTCCCTCTTAACAATTCTGTGTCTGTCCTGAGTAACAATTCTTTTGTCTGTCCCTGAGTAACAATTCTGTGTCCCTGAGTAACGTTTCTGTGGCCCTAAGTAACATTTCTGTGGCCCTCAGTAACAATTCTGTCTGTCCCTGAGTAACAATTCAGTGTCTGTCCCTGAGTAACAATTCTGTGTCTGTCCCTGAGTAACAATTCTGTGTCCCTCAGTAACAATTCTGTGTCCCTCAGTAACAATTCTGTGTCCCTGAGTAACAATTCTGTGTCCCTGAGTAACGTTTCTGTGGCCCCTAAGTAAAACAGTTCTGTGGCCCTAAGTAACAGTTCTGTGGCCCTCAGTAACAATTCTGTGTCTGTCCCTGAGTAACAATTCTGTGTCCCTCAGTAACAAATTCTGTGTCCCTGAGTAACAATTCTGTGTCCCTGAGTAACGTTTCGGTGGCCCTAAGTAACAGTTCTGTGGGCCCTAAGTAACAGTTCTGTGGCCCCTCAGTAACAATTCTGTGTCTGTCCCTGAGTAACAATTCTGTGTCCCTGAGTAACAAATTCTGTGTCCCTGAGTAACAATTTTGTGTCCCTGAGTAACGTTTCTGTGGCCCCTAAGTAAAACAGTTCTGTGGCCCTAAGTAACAGTTCTGTGGCCCTGGAGTAACAAATTCTGTGTCCCTCAGTAACAATTCTGTGTCCCTGAGTAACAATTCTGTGTCCCTGAGTAACGTTTCTGTGGCCCTAAGTAACACAGTTCTGTGGCCCTAAGTAACAGTTTCTGTGGCCCTCAGTAACAATTCTGTGTCTGTCCCTGAGTAACAATTCTGTGGCCCTAAGTAACGGTTCTGTGGCCCTCAGTAACAATTCTGTGTCCCTGAGTAACATTCTGTGGCCCCCCCAAGTAACGATTCTGTGGCCCTCAGTAACAATTCTGTGGCCCTCAGTAACAATTCTGTGTCTGTCTGTGAGTAACAATTCTGTGGCCCTAACTAACGTTTCTGTGGCCCTAAGTAACAGTTCTGTGGCCCTCAGTAACAATTCTGTTGTTCCTGAGTAACAATTCTGGGCCCTAACTAACGTTTCTGTGGCCCTAAGTAACAAATTAGTGGCCCTAAGTAACAGTTCTGTGGCCCTCAGTAACAATTCTGTGTCTGTCCCTGAGTAACAATTCTGTGTCCCTCAGTAACAATTCTGTGTCCCTGAGTAACAATTCTGTGTCCCTGAGTAAACAATTCTGTGGCCCTCTAGTACTAACAATTTGTGTCCCTCAGTAAACAATTCTGTGTCCCTGAGTAACAATTCTGTGTCTGTCCCTGAGTAACAATTCTGTGGCCCTAAGTAACGGTTCTGTGGCCCTCAGTAACAATTTTGTGTCCCTGAGTAACAATTCTGTGTCTGTCCCTGAGTAACAATTTCTGTGGCCCTAAGTAACGGTTCTGTGGCCCTCAGTAACAATTCTGTGTCCCTGAGTAACAATTCTGTGTCCCCTCAGTAACAATTCTGTGTCCCTCAGTAAAAATTCTGTGTCCTCAGTAACAATTCTGTGTCTGTCCCTGAGTAACAATTCTGTGTCTGTCCCTGAGTAACGTTTCTGTGGCCCTAAGTAACGGTTCTGTGGCCCTCAGTAACAATTCTGTGTCCCCTCAGTAACAATTCTGTGTCTGTCCCTGAGTAACAATTCTGTGTCTGTCCCTGAGTAACAATTCTGTGTCCCTGAGTAACGTTTCTGTGGCCCTAAGTAACATTTCTGTGGCCCTCAGTAACAATTCTGTCTGTCCCTGAGTAACAATTCTGTGTCTGTCCCTGAGTAACAATTCTGTGTCCCTGTCCCTGAGTAACAATTCTGTGTCTGTCCCTGAGTAACAATTCTGTGTCCCTCAGTAACAATTCTGTGTCCCTCAGTAACAATTCTGTGTCCCTGAGTAACAATTCTGTGTCCCTGAGTAACAATTCTGTGGCCCTCAGTAACAATTTTGTGTCCTCTCAGTAACAATTCTGTGTCTGTCCCTGAGTAACAATTCTGTGGCCCTAAGTAACGGTTCTGTGTCCCTCAGTAACAGTTCTGTGTCCCTGAGTAACAATACTGTGGCCCTAAGTAACGGTTCTGTGGCCCTCAGTAACAATTCTGTGTCCCTGAGTAACAATTATGTGTCTGTCCCTGAGTAACAATTCTGTGGCCCTAAGTAAACGGTTCTGTGGCCCTCAGTAACAATTCTGTGTCCCTCAGTAACAATTCTGTGTCTGTCCCTGAGTAACAATTCTGTGGCCCTAAGTAACGGTTCTGTGGCCCCTCAGTAACAATTCTGTGTCCCTGATTAACGTTTCTGTGGCCCTAAGTAACGGTTCTGTGGCCCTCAGTAACAATTCTGTGTCCCTCAGTAACAATTCTGTGTCTGTCCCTGAGTAACAATTCTGTGGCCCTAAGTAACGGTTCTGTGGCCCTCAGTAACAATTCTGTGTCCTGAGTAACGTTTCTGTGGCCCTAAGTAACGGTTCTGTGGCCCTCAAGTAACAATTCTGTGTCCCTGAGTAACAATTCTGTGTCTGTCCCTGAGTAACAATTCTGTGGCCCTAAGTAACGGTTCTGTGGCCCTCAGTAACAATTCTGTGTCCCTGAGTAACGTTTCTGTGGCCCTAAGTAACAATTCTGTGTCCCTGAGTAACAATTCTGTGGCCCTAAGTAACGGTTCTGTGGCCCTCAGTAACAATTCTGTGTCCCTGAGTAACAATTCTGTGGCCTAAGTAACGGTTCTGTGGCCCTCAGTAACAATTCTGTGTCCCTGAGTAACAATTCTGTGTCTGTCCCTGAAGTAACAATTCTGTGGCCCTAAGTAACGGTTCTGTGGCCCTCAGTAACAATTCTGTGTCCCTGAGTAACAATTCTGTGGCCCTA